AAACTAAAATGTATACCATGAGTGAAACCTCGAGGGGACTTTTTAGAATTCCTGAATATTTTATTAGAAGTTTGAACCCAAAATTACTTAATTTGCAACTTAAAAATCGATCATTATGACCAACTCACGTTGACGTATGAACACACGAGTGATTGACAGGCCACCACCTAAGAAATAGCAACCTCTCCTTAGGTTCCTCTAAGGAGAGCAGAGAAATGCATCTGTGTTCTCACCTACACAGTGACTCCTTAAAGTAGAAAGGCTCTCCTTCTGGATCATGATGCTGTTGCATTGGGCCTCACATTTTAAATTCATGATTTAATACAGAATAAAAGGATCAACACCTCTAAGTAAGACTGTAATTTATTATTAGAAGAAATGGCACATTTGAATCATTGTATTACAGAAATTCAAATTTAACTTTGGACCTCTTCTTAGGGAAGATGGCTTGTCAATTTTTACTTATCTAATCAAATTTTACCAAGAATGTTTCTATGTACTTTTCTGTTGCTTTCTGTATCTCATTTTATCTGGTACTTCAGCATACACTGACAGGAAGAATAGCATCCATACCAGTGATTTACATTATTTTCATTTTCTACATTACTTTGAATGCCAGAAACCCCCCCAAAATTCCATTCCTGCTTTTTGTTCCTCTTCTCTCTCTCTTCCCAAAGAAACTATTTTAAAGCTAAGGTTAGCAATAACTGGTTTACTTTACTTTACCTAGAAATTGCTCAATGTGGACTATATTGTCTTTGACTAGCAAATCCTGATATTTCAGAAAATTATTATGTTTATCAGTTAAATCATAGTGGGTGTTAAATCATTTATAGAGAACTTCTGAATTGGAGGTTTTTTTACAGGGCAAAAGAGTCATCTCTGTGTGACTTAGGGAAATTTGGCTCCCAGTAGGATCAAGGCCTGTCCTGAGCTGGTCAGTTGTGAACAATCGTCTTGGGGGCTCCACTCACCATAACACACTGAAAGCTTATTAATAATCTGATGCCAAATTAACTCTATACACCAAAACCACCTATATTGTAATTTCAATGTGCATAAAGGGATTCATAATTCACTTTAATGCTTCTTCAATTAATGTATAGATCACTGCCTTTAATCCTTTAAACAAACTGCTAAGAACTTTAGCAATTTTGGAGCATTCTATCCTTCAGTCCTCTAAGTTCAAAACAAAGAAACAAAACCTACCGAGTCTCATTAGAGTTATACACTCAGGAGTCTACTTTGCTAGTCATGGGGGCACTCAGTGAGGTGCTTTGTGTTCCGGCTGTGTATTCTGTTCAGATTTCATAAAAAAGAACAGATGTAAAACATTTCTAACTTAGCAGAAACGTGCTTTACTGCAAACTCATAGCAAGCTATTATTCAAGATACTTATATTTTAAATTTATATTGTAATTATTTACAATTTTAATCGACTAGTTTTCAAATTCAATTTTAATAATTTGAATCATTAACAAATCTTCAAAAGTGGATATTTATAAGCATCGCAACATCTCATACTTACTAAATAATAGTAGGTAACTTAATTTAATTTAATTTAATTTTAATATTAGAAATTTGGGAGCTCATTTCAAAGGATGTGAAATAAATATTGCTGCACTTAGTGTTATATTAGTTTATTTCACAGTTATGTAACTAAAACTGAAAATGAAAGGCAAAAGTATTTGTTAATCATCTCTTAAAAAATAAAAGCATGTTAACAAATGCCTGTAACAATATTTTCAAAACAATTTGATTGATCAGATATCCCATCAACTTATATTTTAAGATTCAGCATTTAATTTTACGTTTAAATTTTAGCAATTTAAAATTTTCTTGATTTCACTTTGTTTTAAGAATCAAATAATTTCTATTTTTTTCACATATTTATTTGTAATGAGAACTATTAAAATCTACTCTCAGCAATTTTCAAGTATACTATACATTGTTATTAACCAAATTGTACATTAGATCTTTTGAACTTATTTCTCTTTTTCTATCTAACTGAAATTTTGTAATATTTGACCAATATTTACCTTACTTCACCCTCCCTTCCATTCTGCTCCAGCTCCTGGTAACTACCACTCTAATCTCTGTTTCTATGCATTTGACTTTTTAGATTGCATGTAAAAGTAAGATCATGTGGTATTTGTTTTTCTGTACCTAGCTTATCTCACTTAACACTATGTTAAAGAAGATGTACATCTTCCATTGTATCAGCAATTTCAAAAATCATATCACAAGATTTTAGGAGCTGAAAAATTAGGTGACAAATAAGTTTTTAAAACTGAAGAAAAGTACAAAGATATTACAGTGATAAAAGAATATAAGTAGATTGCAAAGTTATAATTTGTGTTATTTGCATATGATCAATGACAATAAATTTTCTACACATGTGTTTTAAGTGTAAAAAAGTCATTTATTAAAAAAGATTTCTTTTTTAATTCATACTTTTAGCTGTAATCTTTGAAGCATTTTATTCAGATAGATTTAGATAGAGATGAACATGTGCCTAAAATAATTACTAAATGTACTAACCTTAGGAGAGCTAATTCATTTTAATAACCTGCTATTTTAATCATTTTATTGTTTTTATATAACTCACTGTACCTATGAGAATTGCTGAATAAATGGATAGACTAACAGAAAGTCTATGTTGCATTTACATACCAACTTTCGGCTTACCACTTGTAATGGCTATCTTAGTCAGATGGTCAAAGAAACTGAAGCAAGGGTCATCTCATCATTCCTCCTGCCCCTTGCCATCTGAAGCTATCTTGGTAACCATGTGAGATCACCAAAGCATATCCATAACCCCAACCCAGACCTGCCTTCTGCTCAGTTACCCCAGTGCTAGTCCAGGCCAGTGTCTGCCTTTGGGGGATAAAAAGGGGGTGGGTGAGTGCAGTTTTATCAACATGTCCCAGACCTCTTTGCTTCTCCCAAATCTACCTTGCCCCTCCACATGATATCCTTAGCAATCCTTACTCAGAGAAAGAGAATACACAACAAACAAGCTTTGGGTTTGCATCTAAAATGATGATGCATCTTATTTTACTCCTTTGTCAGCACAAAGGCCAAAGCAAAGCTACTCTTTATATGTAATCAATTCTAGAAATTACTTTACCTAGAGTCCTTGAAAAAGTAACTTCCCCTTTATTTATCTTTATACTTCTAGTTTGGTTCACAGCATGGCTTATAATAAGATTTTCAACAAGACCCCAAAGGGTGTGTACTCCATTTTGGGATCAAAGGTTGAACAAGGAATTTGAGCTGATGTTCTATCTCTTTGCAGTGAGGGAGGCAAGAAAAAAATCAGTCCTGTGAGCAGTAAACAGTGAAGCGAAAAGTTAAAAAGGAATATTATAATAAAGCCAGAAGCTGAAGAGGATGTTCTAGAACCTCATTGTGTATAACATAGGTACGAAGGTACCTCACCCCCAACCTGTCTTATTTCAGCCATATCAGTCCCACTGTTACAAACCATATGCCAAGCAATGAAAATACCAACTCTTTCAGTATGGAAGATGAAAAAGTGTGAGTCTAGAGAAAAGAAAGTTTTTTGACTCATTTCCAGGGCATGCCAAGTTTGAAACCTTAACTGCAGCTTCTTATAGAAGCATTCTTTCTTCATGGTGATGAACTGGTGAGCTATTCTAGTATTAAAAATTTTTTAAATAAAAAAAGTTTTCATTGAATTTAGCCTAGAAATTGAACCAAAATGGACTTCCAAATGAAATTTTGCAACAAAATATTTTTCAAAAGTTTGCAAATGCCATAATTGTGTTTTAATTCATAGTTTTGTGCAATATGTTAGATATTAAATATTTTTAAAATGAAGAATAAAATAACACTTTAATGGAAAATATCAGCGGCACAGATGATTCAAATAGGATAAAAAATAACTTCTTTTAAACATATTTTGTCTAGAAAAAAGTACCATTTTAAATTCTACCTCCCTTCAAAAAGTTCCCTTCATCAAAATCACAAAGTAATGATACCATACGTGGTATTGGGAAAAGGATTTCAAAACTGTGAAGTCAAAAATAAATAATTTAACTACAAATACTTGAGTGTTGTCTGTAGTAACTATCACTCATTTTAATTTTGGAAATACAACTGCTTCACTTCAGGTGGAGCACTTGCTATGTAATACAAGAAACTAGATTCACTCTTGTTAACAGTCAAATTCCTATAATGAAGTTCAGCACTCCAGGAGTAGACTGGCATGGATCATTAAATCTAACCTCAGCAAACAGTAATCAATAGAAATAAGAGGAAGAATATGCCACAAAAAGAAAAAGAATATTACAACTTAAGACCAAATTGAGAGTTTATTTTTTATTTATTTATTTTTAGCTCCCATAAATAAGTGAGAACATGTGATATTTCTCTTTCTGTGCCTGACTTGTTTTGCTTAAATATAATTCTCTCTAGGTCCATCCATGTTAAAATAAATAAATACACAAATAAACTGTGGGGCGAGAGGGAGACACAACAATTACAATTCCTTGAAGTTGATACGACAAGCAAACAGATATGAGGTTGTTTGGAGGGACGGGGGAGAGGAAGGAGGGAGGGAGGTTTTGGTAATGGGCCACAATAATCAACCACATTGTATATTGACAAAATAAAATAAAATTAAAAATAAATAAATACATAGACCATATTTTATATGGTATACCATATTTCACATGTAAATATGTACGTATTTATATTGTATTTTATGTGTTATATATATATATAAACAAATTGAGAGTTTAATTTTAAAAAACAAGGGAATGAGCAACATGGAAAACAACTCTGGTTTGAACTACCTAGGTAATTTTAATTTGTTAATTAACTTTGCTTAGCAGCCTTTCCCTTGAGCCATGTTTAGTTAAAAATTACTGATTCCAAAATATTATTTGAAATACTACATAATTAGTGATCCAGAGATGTTTTAACACCACAAAATATTGTTTCTAAGGAAAACATACACATATTCATATACTTACTGAAGATGTGGATACTTGAGTTATTCTTAACTGGTTTTCCAAATCTTGCACTTTATTTTTAAGTTCCATATTTTCTGTTTCTAAGTCTTGGATCTAAAAAGCAAATGATTATTGAATAGCTTTCAGAAACTTTTTCTTGGAAAATATTGGCTATGATATTGGCTATATTAATGAATAGGATTTTATATTATTTAAATTTTTAATGTTCTCTTTTGTGCATAGGGGAAAAATTGTTCCATAAAATTTGGGAAATACTGGAGGATTCTAGGTGACCAGAAAGACATTAACTTTAAAACTTATTTCTATGTGTGTGCAAATTTTATATTCTTAATGGCTCATCTTTGTGTTTGCTTGTTGCACTGTGCAATCTATACCCATAATCTTGGAGTATAACCGCAAGACAGTGAAACTTGCTCATGATGATTCTGAAGAGTGGAGAAAGGGTGTAATTTAATTACAAAGGAATCTGATCTGCATGGGAAACCACTTACCCAGCATCTGCTGCTTCTGCTGCTCTGATCCCCATGAGAAGCATCAGGAAGTGAAGCAAAGTCACATGAGAACACTAAGTTCTTGTGGGAATTCAATATAAAATAGTTAAAAACTGTGCAGGGGATCAGGAATGAAAAATTATAGGAACACAGTGAAAGCAGTTCCAATAAGTGTGGGGGAAATTTAATGGCAGGCCTTCTAAATTTGTTTGATGATATGCAAGTTTCCCTGTACTTACATCAAACGTATGTGAAACCACATGCTTAGTCTACTCACTCTTTTCTGTAACCCTGCAATCTGTTTTCTTGTTTCAACGTCTTTTCCTCCAGATTCTAGAAATTTCCTGTATGCCAGGTCAAATGCTTGGCCAATTGTTAAAGTTATCTCTTCAGCCTTTGTAAAAATCACACAAAAAGATTTATATTTTAGCAATAATGTGTAAAACTGTTCTTTGAATTCAGTAAAAGCATTCACATGAGTCACTCCAAGACATTCAATCAAGGCACTTCAAAAGGGCAATGGCTGAGGGTAGAGATGTAGTAAATGAGCAAAGTAGTCTGTGCTAACACGATAATTCAATGCCTACCCAGGCACAACACTGCTGGGGAGAAAAAAGAAGAGGCCATTAAAGAGTAGCTGTTGAAGGTGGAAGCAAGAGTTCTTTCATTCCTTCTCATCTCTTCATCATAGTATTTTTTTCCTAGTTGCTTTCCTCCCTTTCTCAAATATTTAGGGCCAGCTGCAGTTTCTTTTGTTGCTTTGCTACTTATTTCCTTTTCCTAGTGAGGAGGGTTTGTTAAACCCTGGGCAGATAACTTGAATGAGGCTGACTGGGTAGTGTCTGGGGAAAACCTGAGGTAAGCTCTCTCTAAATGGAGCAACTGCTTACTCAGCTCCAGGTAGTTGTTGCCTGCTGGAAACAAGTAACTCCAATCCAGAATTGTCAGATCTTAAATATGCAAGTGAGGTCAGAACATAAAATTTTATGAGAGCTCCCAATTTTAAATGATAGTTAAAAGTCTGTATTTTAGTAAAACAGTGTCGATTGAGCAATGTATGGCTGTCATCTGAATTTGTCCTGAATTTGTCAACAATTTACAATCTCTGCTCTATAAAACTAAAAATTGCCACAAATATCCCAAGTCCACCAGCTTATTCCTTCTCCATTCACATCTCCACTGATTTCATGGAGTCTTGCACAAAGTATACAGTAAATACTTATTTACTTAATTAACATTATAAAGAAATTTGGTAGAGGCATTAATTGATTTAATGCATCACAAATGTTATATTTGATGAGACCTCAAATGACAGAAAAATTAACAGTAATATAAAATATTGAAAATGCCATGCTTCAATTAATCTAATGCGAATCCTAATACTTTGTGAAATACTATGATCAGTCTAAAATGAAAATATATTTTACTAATAAAGCTTATATTATTTGACATTGTCATTTTTGCAGTTCACTGTTTGACGGGATTTAAGCATTAAAAAAATTTATACTGCTTAACCTAGTAAAAGAATGCAAAATGTGTGCATAACATTATATAGAAGGACCATCTGTCTTGCAACAAGTAGAAAAAAGACATGAAAATAAATAAACTACAATAAGCTACAGTAAAAAATGCTAAGTAAATGCCAGATACCAACATATGTGTGCTCAATGATTCAAACTATAAAAAATATATAAATGGAAAGGAATTTTGTTATGAAACAGTAGTAAAAAGTGGTTATGATTGATTGTGAGATTATGAATTAATTTTTTTGTTACTAATTTTAAAACTTTGGGTAGCATGTTTGTATTATTTTACAATAAAAGGCATTTTAAATTATGGTTTATTTTTTCTACCTTTTAAATAATGAGCTCAATGTGTCCTTTTAATAAGACATTATGTTCTCCTCAATATTCAATGTGTACACTATAGAGAATCATTTAAAGAGCATCAATGTTGATTCATCATTAATACCATTTGACTTCATATTATTTATTTGTAATAACAATTTTTTAAAAACCATACTCTCTTTTTATAATTAAAAATCTCTATTGAACATTTAGCTGTCTGGTATTATTCTGCATACATTACCTCACTTGATTCTCATAGATTCCTTGATGTGAAGATTATTATGAAACTGCCATTCTGTAAGGTTGCATAATTTACTAATTTACTTATTAAGATCTCATAGTAAGTGAGTGGAAAACCTGGAGTTCAAATCCAAAATTTCTGATTCTCCAACCCTTATGCTTTTTGGGGGGATGGGATAAAATTTATATACAATGAAATGCAAATATAATTGTACAACCAGATGTGTTTTGATAAATATATATACCTATATAACCATTATCTCATTAAAGATATAGAATATTTCTATCCCCCCAGAAAGCCTCATACTCCTATTTCTAGTCAAATTACATCTATTATAGGCAACCATTGCTCTAATTTCTATCACCATAGATCAGTTTTGCCTGTCCTTGATATCCATAAAAATGGACACATATCATATGTGTTCTTTTGTGTTTGGCTTTTTTCCACTAACTTAATGTTTTGGAGTTTCACACATGTTGTATCTATCAATAACCCATTTGTTTTATTGCTGATTAGTGTCCCATGTTATGAATTGATTTATCCATTTTCCTATTGATGGACATTCATGCTGTTTTCAGTTCTTAGTCATTACAAATTAAACTGCTACAAACACCCTCGTAAAATCTTTTTGTAGACATATGTTTACATGTCTCTGGGTAAAGATCTAGAATGTAATTACTAAATCATAGGATATGTCTATGTTTAACATTGTAAGAAACTTCCAAACTGTTTTCCAAACAATCATACAATTTTACATTCCCACTAGCAGTGAGAGTTTCAGTTGCTCCACATTCTCACCAACATCAGATACGGACAGTCTTTTTCACTGTACTCCTTTTACTGCATGAATGATGTCATATCAATGTGTTTCTAATTTACATTTCCCTATTGTTAGAGCTCAGTTTCACGTGCTCATTTGCCTTTTTAATGCTCTCCTGAATGAACTATGTATTCAAGTCTCCTGCCCATTTGTATTAAGTGTTCTGTATTTTTATTACTGATTTTTTAGGAGTTCTTTATATATTCTGGGTACAAATCCTTTTTCAGATATATGTATTGAGAACACAGTCTCAGAGTATGTGGCTTGTAATTTCACCTTGTTAATAATGTTGATAGATTAACAGAAAATTTTTATTTTTGATAAAGTCCATTGTATCCCCCCTCCCTTATTATTATTTTTTTTTCTGGTAATGTTTAGTGCTTTGGGGATCCTTTCTAAGAAATCATTGTTCATCCAAAGTTCATAAAAATATTTTCTGATGATTTTTAACCAAAGTTTTGTTTGAAAGTACAAAAGCTTCTACTTTTGTGTCTATGATCCATTTCAAATTATTTTTATGTAACATAGTTGGGGTTAATTCTTATAATTTTCCTCATATATTTAGCTCTGATGGCATTGCCAAAAGACTTTCCTTTTTCCTTTGAATTGTCTTGTCACATTTGTGGAAAATAAATTGAGCATGTATGTGTGAATATTCCTGGACCCTACAATATGGTTCTTTATTGTCTATCATTACATTAATACCACCCTGTCTTGATAATAGTTTTTTAAATTAAGTTTTGATATCAGGTAGCATGTGTCCCCCTACTTCAGTCTTCTCAAGAGTAATTTTTCCTGTTCTAGGCTACTATTTGTATTACCATATTAGAGGTAACTTTTCAATTTCTACTAAAAATTGCACTGCAATTTTGATCAGAATTGTATTAAATCTATGAATCAATTTGGTAGAATTTAATTAAGAAGGTTTAATTAAATTGAGTCTTCCAATGCATAAATATGGTATATTTCTCTCATTATTTTAGGTTTTATTTACTTTCAGCAATACATTGTAGATTTCAGTGCAGATGCCTTTGCACATCTTACATAAAATAATATGTAATCCTAGTTATTTTATGTTTGCTGATGCTATAGTAGATTTTTATTTTTTGTGTAGTAGAAGAAACACAATTTATCTATACTGACCTTATATTTTGTGTTCTTGCTAAATTTGTTTCATAATTCTAGTAGTTTGTAGACTCTCAGGATATTTTGTGTAAAAAATTTTATATTCTATCTACAAAAAAGAGTTTTGCATCTTCCTTTTCAATTTTTATGCTCTTTCTTCCCTGCCTAATTACTAGCTAAGACATCTAATACCATGTTAAATAGAGGTGATGAGAATAAATAACTTTGCTTTCTTCCCAATCTTAGGGGGAAAGCATTCAATAATTCATAATTGATTAATGATTGATGAATATAATTATTAATGAATCATAATTGATGAATTATAATGCTACCTGTATTTTTTATCTCAATAATAAAAAAAGCTCTTCTAAACCTAGTATGCTGTAAATTTTATTCTCAAATGGGTTGAATTTTGTATAGTACTTTTTCTATATCTAGATGATTTTTTATATCTGAGATGATTTTGTTGTTGTTATTATTCTGTTCAGATGTTGCATTATGCTGACTTTCTTATGTTAAACCAAACTTGTACTCTTGGGATAAACCCCACATGGTAATAATGTATTATTTATTTTATATATTTATATACTGCTGAATTCAATTTGGAATTGTTATGTTAAGAAACATTAAGTCTATGTCACAAAGAACACAGGTCTATAATTTTTGTTTTTGGTAAGGTCTTTGTCAGGTTTTATCTAAGGGTAACACTGGCTTCTATTTTTTCGCTTGTATTTATCTTAATATTTAAAGTGTGTCTCTTCTAGAGAGAGAAGAGCTGGGCATTTAAAAAATCCTGTTGAAAATCTCAGCCTTTGATTGGTGTATTTAGTCCATTTACATTTAACTTGTTCTTTATTTTTATTTGTCTCATCTGTTTTTATGTTCTCTGTTCCTCCTTTCCTACCTTCTTTTAATTTTATTAAAAAATATATTGTTTTCTCTGTAGGCTTTTAGCTATACCCCTTTTCATTACATTTTAAAGATTGCTCTAGTGATTAAAGTATATTTATCATTAATTTAGCATGATCTACTTAGACTTAATATGGTATCATCATACATAAATAATAACTACCTTAAAATAGTGTAAATCCATTAAGTCCAATAGCATAAGTCCTTTGTGCTATTATTGTCATATGTTAACATCATGAAACAACTGTGATGTTATAACTTTTGCTTTGAACAGTTAGCTCTGTTTTAAAGAATGGAAGAAAATAAAAGAGAATTTTTTTACAGCTACCCACATTTTTACCATTTCCAGTGCATTTTTTTTTCTTCTTCTTTTTCCTTTCCGCATATTTGAGTTTCCGTTTGGTGTTATTTCCCTTCAGGCTGAAGAACTTTCTTTAGAATATTTTGCAGTG